ATTGGCAGGATTATTTTATTTCTGCAATAATCTCTCCCTGCCCCTCTGAAAACCCACATGCAATCTCCACATAGCTTCTAGTTTTGTTTTGTTTTGTTTTAAAGATTTGACAGAGATAACGCAAGCAGGGGGAGTGGAAGAGGGAGAAGCAGGCCTCCCGTTGAGCAGGAAGCCCGATGCAGGGCTTGACCCTAGGACCCCGGGACCATGACCCGAGCCGAAGGCAGACACTCAACGACTGAGCCACCCAAGCGCCCCCAAAGCTTTTAGTTAAACTCCAAAATAATCTCTGATCCATCTACTCTACCTCTGTGGCTACCACCCTAAAACAGACTACATCTTTTGATAGTTAAAATAGTCTCTGACCTCAGCTTTTCTTGCATTTACTTTTTCTCTCATCCAAACCATTCTCATCCAAATTACAGCTGATTTTTCCAAACTCCTTTCAGAGGACCCTACAGGATCTGACCTCTGCCAACCTAACCAGCTTTATCTTTTGACCTTCACAATGACCCCAGATTTTTAGTGAGCTCCATCCATTCTCTCATCACTTTTAAGCCCTTTCCCAAACCTTCAGAGATGGTTTCTTTACCTGGACTAGAGTAGGTTATTATCCATTCCTATAGCACCCTGTACTTCCTCTCAGCACTTGTAATTATTTAATTTCTAACTTCACTTTCGGTCAATAAGCACTATGATGGCAGAGCTCTTTGCATCTATATCCCCAGTGCAAACAGAATCAATAAATACTTCTGATTGAATGTCCCAACTTATTAGCCAGTGAAAGTAAGAAGCAGCTTAAAAGTAATTTAAAAGTAGGTAGTTTTACCTGCTTTATATGTATTTATGCTGATCTCAAATCTCTTGCTATATGGTATTATATCTTAAAGTTTGTTGTTTGTAACTAATAAAAAAACCCAAAAAAACAAAAAAACATTACCTGAGAGATTAAGACTCCTCATAACCACTGTTTTCTGGCCACTCCTAGTGCCCCACTTACTGAGAGAGAAATGAACCCAGTTACACCCTGGGGTTTGAGTCCAATAAGCCCTTGAGCAACTCCTTGACAACTGCCAGAAATGTGAGATACATTTGTCAAAAGCTTCGAGACACTTCTTCAGACCTAACACAAGCATTTATGTTCCTAGCTTTCTTCAAGTCCCTTTCTCAAAACTCCAATGTTAACAACAACTAATGCAAATTTTGCCCTAGTAACTTTATTCATTGTTCTCAACATTTATTAAATGTCTACTATATGTTCCTGGTACAATGGTAGTACTAGAGAAAAAAAAATCACAGTTGCAAAGCCAAACAATTCATTGTTATTTAAGAGCAAAATGATTTGTATCAACCCATATATAAGTTGTATAAATTACTATTATCCATGTTACCAAACAGCTTTTGTTCCTTCATAGTTTTCAGATTTCAGGAATAATTTTATTCAACAAGTTACAAACACAAAGCAAGGAATAATAGCTTTCTATGGTGGCCATAATGAATTACAACTACTTTAGTGACTTAAAACGCAAAAATTCATTATCTTACAGATAACAGTCAGAATATCTTACAGAATAATTGGTCAGAAGTCCAACAGAGGACTCAGGGGACTAAAACCAAAGTACTAGTAGAGTTCCATTCCTTTCAGGAGGCTCCGGGGAGCTTCTACTGGCCTCCGTTCCTTGGGCTCAGGGACACCCCCTTGCTCCATCTTCGAAGCCAGCAATGCATCTCTCTGACCATTCTTGCTTTGTCAACTGTCTGTCTCTGACTACAGCAGGGAAAAGATTCTTTTAATGATTCATGTGATGATTGGATGCACAAAGATAATCCAGGATGCCTTCCCTATCTCAAGGTCTTTAACCTTAATTACATCTGCAAAGTCCCTTTTATCATGTAAGGTAACACTCACAGGTTCTTAAGAGTTGGACATGGTTCGTGGGCGGCATTACTCTGCCTTATTTTGCACAAAAGTCATTCAAAATTTTCAAGTTAGTATTCCTACCTGAGAAGTAATAGCATTTCTAATTGCCTAGCATGTGACATCTGCTAATTTAATTAGCAGTTAAGTCACAATATATCAATGAATCTATCACAATCAAAATCTTTGATGAATCTATTGGTTTTACTTACACTTACAGATGTAACAATTAAATAAACCTTTTTAAAAAATTACTATTTTTCTTTCATTTGAATGGGAAGAAGGAAAGTATTCCAGGGTTAAAGTGTATGTTTTTGGTATAAACATAAATTCCTGAGGGAATCTGTTCTGATTATACCAGTGATAATATCCAGGAAACTAAATCAGCTAAAATGGGTTATAAGACTTAACTTCAGGATAATAGTTTTCCGTTCACACCAACAAGCAATGGAGAGAAATGGATTATAGGTTACCACAGCTGGCTATAATCTCACACTCTAATAATATGGAAGATGTAATTTTCACATGAAAATCTGAGTTGAAATTGAGACTTATTTAGTTAACTGCCTTTAATATTATTTTGTACTTTTTCCTATGAAAAGGTTTTTTTCAGAGAGAAGTCAAGGACCACACCTGAAGCTTGTTTTATTCAGGGGCAGTATGTTTTCTGTACAGATGTTAGAAATGACTTTAATGGAAAAGTATAGTTATTTTTAAGACTTCAGGGACAGAAAAACCATCAGATTTTTTTCCTTTTTTTCCCCCTCTGAAATCCCTATCATTTTGATAGAATGTAAGTAAGGTTTCAAACTGAAAAGGAATTACCAGTATCAATGTGAATCAGTGTTAATGTCCCTTACAATATAGAGGGAGAGAAAAGGAACACTAAACACAGCTTAAAAACAAATCATCAAGAGAACAACCATTCTTAACTATGTCATTTATACATAATTCAGTTTTACTGTTACATTTTTAAATCTGTGAAAGCATTCCATAATCACATATAAAGCTAGAAGTACAAAAATATCATAGAACAGTTCAATTTTTGAAGAAACTCTATGAGCTAAGTATTTTCTGAATTTCATTTGCAATGAAAATGCATTACTTTTATAACAAGAAAAATTTGTAATGCTACTTCCTTGGGGGTGGGGGGACAGGGAAGGCAGGAATGGAGAGTGTCCTAACAAAGCCTATCTAAGCACACCACCAAGTACTCATCTTCATATTAAAACTAAGGCAGAGAAGACAAATTCAATGTAACCTCTCCTCAAGGTGACTAGTAATTACCACCAAACTACCATAGCTGTACTCACTACTGAGTCTCAGAAAATGTACTATTGGCTAGAATATAAATAGCCAAGTTGTTGAATAATCTGTACATTCTACACAGACACAAACACACAAAGCCAATTATGTGAGGTAATGGAGGTGTTTAATATTACTGTGGTATTCATTTCTCAATATATACACGTTACACTTTAAAATTACATGTTATTTGTCAATTACATCTCAATAATGGTATAAAAAAATGAACATCCCAATTGTGGTCTTAAATCATGCATTGTCAATAGAAGAAAAAAATTAGATATTACAATAGTTTGTGGTCCTCCAAAACTCAACCCTACCAAACAAAATCATATCCATTAGGATTTATTGCGTAGTGTGTAGTGGGAGAGGGCAAAGATTAGAATAAAATGTCTAAAAAGGCTTCTTATGCCCTAATAGTTGAAAAAAGGTTGAGAAACAGTCCAAATCAAGATGAACCTAACCCTGGCTATCAACTATAAGAATATGAATACTAGGGGATCCCTAGTATAACCACATAACTACCTGTTTCATGCCCATCCACTCCACTAGTTTTGGGGCATCTCCAAGGATGACCCAGTTTGACCACTCAGGAAATAGATAAAAATCACATTAGTCCATGTAAGTCATTTGTGAACTCCCCAGGAGGTGTATTCAACCACAAAAAAGAAGTGGCAAATTACTTTAAATTCTGTTTAGTATCTAATAGAAAATAAAATTATTGATATGAAATTTGGGAAGGAGGGAAACAGGAGGAAAAATCATGGGTGCTACAGCATCTCTTCAAAAAATAGGTAATACAGAACAAAAAAGCTTTGTTAGCCATGATTCACACTTCAGAATTTTCATGTATGGGGATAAATAAAGAAGAAAAAACACTTCAGGTATAGAGGTAGCAATAGCTAGCTACAATTTAAAAGGAATTTCACTTGTTTTACTCTTGATTCTGAGAAACTAATATTATACCTATAGCAGCCCTATGTCCCTGATTTTCCACAATAATCCCAATTTCATGTAACTGTGTTCTTACTCCTGCTCCCTAAAAGTGATTCTTTAAATACAAAACTATGATCTCATCTAAGACTTTCCATACAAACAAATCAATACCAGAAAATCCATTGTTAGACCCTAATACTTGAGGGATAGAGGAGGTTCAGAAAAGTATAACATTCTACTCATATTTAAAAGCAACATACTTGGTGTACCTTTAGGATTCTAGTAAATGAAGAAAAGTTAGAAAACCAAATAACAAATGATGAATTGTTTTGACCAATCCATATTTATTTTAGGAGTTCTTAATTCTTTAATACTTGTAATTGTTTTCCTTAGACTCCCTTGCAAAGCATTTTTGATGAAAAGAATTATCTTCTATTTCAGACCATGGCACTTAATTCTCTTGCACTTGTGTTTGAGGAACAAGCACTTTGCAAACTGGACATGCCACCAAGTTTTACATGTATGATGCACATGAATATTCGTTCCAATAAGGTAGTAAAAGTGAAATGCATCATGGTACTCAGAGTACCAAAAATTAAAAAGAATCAACATAGAAAGTAGCAAAATCTCTTAACCAAGAAGAAGCAACATAGTCACCTTCATTAGTTTCATAAAGTTAAGACAAAGGACAGTGTAGGTTATTTTAGAAAAGTAACACCTTAAGATCAAAAGAACCTGTACTTCAGGAAGGAAACTTCACTCTGGGAGACAAGAGCTGATCTTCTATTTTCTCAAGGACATCATCTAGTTGATGCCATCCAAGGCCATATGGAATTGCATCTCCTTCTGTAATGTTATATGAGGTGTGAGGAGAGACAAATGCCAGAGGGGGCTGATCTAGGAAACAAAATCGTCTTGTAAAAAACACCTTCGAACACTACCCAAAAACAATCAAAGATGTGTGTCCACTCTGCCCTCAACCTTTCTTCTTTCTTAGAGAAATGGTGTTTCAAAAAAAAAAAAACAAAGAGAGTGAAAGTTGTAAACGGGGATTCATCAAAGCCCACAATCCACTTTAGAACTCTTGAATGTGCAAGCCACAGAGAGGGTACGTGAGCAGCAGGACGGGTACCAACAGAGTATACACTTCAGGGAGCTCAACACCAACAGCAGCTCCTAGGAAAAAAACTGGAGGTAGATTACAGCCATCTCTCATTTGCCCCAATTTTCTTTTTCAGTTTTCAAGCAAAAATCGTTTGCTTTTTGTTCACAAACTAACAGAGGTGGGGAGGAACAGAAACTGGCCTCAAGAGTAGGGAGACAGGTAACCTGACCTCTTAATGTCCCCTGCCAACTACTGAATCCATACAGCTCATTCTGAGACTTACTATTTAGCATTTTAAAAAGCCCCCCTTTGTATATGGCACTGTAATGAAATAACAGTAATAATAACAATAATGAAGATGCCTTGTATCTACTGCCTTATACCTTAAAGTGCTTTAATGACTTTAATGGATTGAAGCATCCCTATGAGATCAAAGTCAGATATTATCATTTCCAGTCTACATAATAGAAAATCAAGGAAGAAAGGTTAAGTAACTTGACCAAGCCTCTCTCATCAATACAGCGTTCTGTAACAGTTAAGGGGCTGCAAGTCCCTCTGCTGCTTAGCTGGCTGTTCAGCTCAACCTGTAGTCTAACCCCAAACAGCTCTCTGGCTCAAGGGGCTACGGTGACTAGACACTGGCCTGAGAAAACAGATCTGCCTAAATGTGCTATCAGTGAAGTCCAAAGAGCTCCAGAGAATCTGTCAGTAGACAAATGCATTTTTATATAAATCAAGTATCTTTCCTTTGATTTTTGAGACCCATGCCACCCACTCAGATATTACACTGCAAAATCACTTTGAGATGAGGGTTTATTCTCCAACTTCATAGTTGGAGACCAAAACACAAAGGATAAAGGGAACAGAAAGGAGACACCTAGCACCAGGGTCTTTTCCCAAGCTAGTGGTGAGTGGGAGAAAAACTGTGGAGCCTGTTACTTGCAGATAATAAAATTTAACCTTTCTAGTTCCCATTAAATCTGTTAAAGATGAACACAACACACCCAGCTAAAGAATGCTCAAGTATCATGTCACAAAGGGCAGCAACAACATCTTTAACCATTACAAGACCCGAAGTTTGAAAACTGCAAAGCTGTACATGCATTTGGTCATGTTCATGTTTACAGACATCATGTCCTCCTCCTACTACAAAAACTAATCACTTCTCACTGGAAGACTTTAACCAAGAGAAAAAACCTAATCCTAACATGAAACCTCTTTATTACTTATTTCTTCCAGTTACCAAGTATGTGATCAGAATTAAAATAAGAGCTAGGACTGGTTCCTAATAAAAGCTAACCTTGCTCTCCCACCCACACAAAAGTAATTCTGTTTAGAAACCTTTCGTTTTTTGGCCCCAACCCATTCTTGGGGTGTGTAGTTCACTCACTGCCAGTAATTGCTTCCATACAATATACTGTTTTAAAACATGTTTGCATACTTATGATGATGCATTACATTTATATTACATTTAAAACTCCAAACAGGCTTACAGGTTTTATTTTCTGTACTAGGAAACAGAGACTATGCATGGTGTCTCTAAAGTAATCACCAGAAAGGGACGTCGGTTTCATTTTTTATTTTCAACTCTCTGTCTCTCTGAATTTTTAGCCTCCTGAACTTTTTCTTTTAATTACTTGGAAATACAAACTCATCCATCTGGGAAGAAAATTAACCTAAAAATCTGTGACAAGAGACCATGTACCGAAATTACTATTACCCAGGTCAGTATGCAGTAAGTTCTACTGGCTAATTATCATTTCACTTAGGGCAATTTCATTTGACTCAGTAACAAAAATAGAAAACTTCTACAATAATTGTGGCTCATTTTCCTTTCTTAAAATTACTAATATAACATTTTTAACCCACCTGCTATTTTATTAATGTAGAATTATACAAGTTGGTATGATTTTATTTATCTACATATACTTACACTTTTTAAATACAAAAGCAAATTCTTTCTGCATTAAAATAAAATTTTAAAACTTAATATCTAAATTTGCTAAATTCAATTTGTTCTTCATAGCTCCGTGATTTCAGAAATAGGTTAATTTTCACTATCCCCTTCCACAAATAAGTTTGTGGTCAATGAGGAACTCAAAATTCCTCCCTCCGCCCAAAATGGAAAGAGATGATTAACTTTTGTACTCTTCAAGCTCTATCATACAAAATATTCACTCTATCCCCTACATTGAAACCCTGCTATTCCAGACCCATTTGGGGGATTTCTGTCCCTGATATAGTGAACACACATGTACATACACACAAAAACACAGAGTAAACAGCTAAATCTTATAAGGTAAAAGCTTTAAGTGAAGAAGACTTTCTAGGACCACAATGTGATTTTATAAATTGAAAATGTGATTGGATTTGATTGTGATTATGGCCCCTACAAGGTAATAATTTATTTAAAAAACACATATGAAATTTTAGATCTATTCTTAAGCAGCAAAAACCCACCCCTAGAGCAAAGAGATAAAAGCTAAATTTTGCTTTCAATACATACAAAATGATATCGCTCAACATTATTAAAACTGTCCTTAGGGGGGCGCCTGGGTGGCTAAGATGGTTAAGCGTCTGCCTTCGGCTCAGGTCATGATCTCAGGGTCCTAGGATCGAGTCCCGCATCGGGCTTCCTGCTCCTTGGGAGCCTGCTTCTCCCTCTGCCTCTCTCTCTCTGTCTCTGTCTCTCATGAATAAATAAATAAAATCTTTAAAAAAAAAAAAAACTGTCCTTATTATTAAACTTTTGTAAAAAAAAAAATTAGTTGCTTTACAAAATAAATTCTTGACTTTAGAAAAGCTGAAATCTGCTCAGGTATTGAAATGCACAAAGCTGGGGTGCCCGGCTGCCTCAGTTGGTAGAGCATGTGTTTCTTGATCTCTGGGTTGTAAGTCTGAGTCCCACACTGGGTGTAAAAGTTATTTAAAAATAAAATCTTAAAAAAAAAAAAGAAATGCACAGAGTCACAGAAACACCACCTGGCCCCCTCCAAAACTTAATATTTAAACAAACACCAAAACTCTTCTGGTAAAAGTAACAGGTTTTTTTCCATGGGCTATAATCATTCACGGACGATGCCTTAATTAAAGCTGGGCAATGAATGTGGATATTAAGCAGAGTGTGTCAAGTCAAAAAACTGACTTCCTAGCACAGCAGAGCACACTCATAATTTCTTAATGTGTCCTGTTAGGTCCACATATTAACAGTGATGTAAACAATACCACTTTTCAAACTTAACTGTGAATTTTTTCATTTTTAGAGCTTTCTGTCCCAACCTTACTTAATGTTCTTTTAATGTAGTTTTTCCTGTGTGATAGATCATATTTATCTCTGTAGCCATCCATCACTATTTTCTTTAATTGAGGTTAATTTCTTTCAACTTGGGGGGAAGGTGGGAGGGATGAGGGAATCCTCATTCTACTGTGCTGAGCACAGAGGGCATTCACAGCTGCTGATTTTTTTTTTAAATCACAAAGCCCAATTTTCAGGATACTTAAATTCCTCAAATCCACCCTACTGCCCTCCAATCTGGACCTAAATCAACAATCTACTGGGATGGGAACCCAGTTCCCACCCAGCACCACTTACTGAAAAATTTCTACCTAACTAAAATCCCTCCAGCTGCAATCTAAGTCCTTTTGTTTGTTTTCCCTCAAAAGGCTAACAGCTGGTACCACCTTCCATGTAAAATTATCTCATGTGTTTGGAAACCGTGATTAACTCATACCTTGGTCTTCACTTCTCCAGGCCACAAAAATCAGTTCATTTCTCAAATCTTTTCAACATCTTCTACTTTCAACTCTGGGCTCCACAGTCATATTGGAGTTTGGAATAACTGAGTGGCCAGAAATAAGTGAAATACATTGTCAAGGTTGAGAAAAGGGTTATTCTTCTGCTCACCTTTAGAGCCTAGTGTAGGGACTTTAGGATGGGCTCTGGCAGAAGGCTGGCTGGAAGCTGCCCTCCTATAAACCATTAGGTGGCAAAAACAACCCCCCCACCCAGTTTTATGGAGTGGACCAAAAAGAGGGAGGGGGACCTCGTAAGTGTAAATGTAGAGCCTGAGAATTTTAAAAGACACCATTAAAAAGAGATTTATTTATTTATTTATTTATTTTAAAGATTTTATTTATTTATTCATGAGAGACAGAGAGAGAGAGAGAGAGAGGCAGAGGGAGAAGCAGGCTCCCAAGGAGCAGGGAGCCTGATGTGGGACTCGATCCCAGTACCCTGGGATCATGACCTGAGCCGAAGGCAGACGTTTAACCATCTGAGCCACCCAGGCGCCCCTAAAAAGAGATTTAAAAAAAAGCTGGGCAAAAGCTGGACAAAGGGTTTTATTTGACATGCTAATGAATATTTGGCTGTCTTGGATTTCTACAGTACAGTTTACCTATCATCTCTTAAGGATATATATACTTCATTCCCTGAAAAGAGTTTGGGATGATCTTAGGAATGAAGAGGAGGAAGGGAATCCACTAACCAAAGTTAGTCCCAAATGCTGCCCCACACTACAGGCCAGAAGGAACTACTAGATTTTATCTCAAACATTCATTTAGTGCCCGACACTCAATAGGCATGCAGCGAGTAGTGGCTGGACTGAAACTGGAGATGGTGGAGTGGGAACCTTCTTGGTTTGGGCAGTCCTCAATGATGGGTGGAATGGTAGGCAGCACAGCAATACACAAAGAAGCAACAGGATGGGCTTTAGGGATGGTCCATCAACGGGACAGGGAAGCCAAAAGGAGAGAAGACCCCAATCGGGCTAATGAAGTGGTCCAGGGAGGATTTTCGTCCTAAAGCTGAGTCTTTTTAATCAGTGCTGAGGACAGGGCAAGCAACAGAGCGTCGGTCTATTGGGCTGAAAGAGATCTGAGGCCAAAAGAGACAATGGGGAGGGTTATGAGAGCACTGCTTGCTCTACAAAGAAGTTCAGATATTGTCTATACAGTGTACAGCCAAAGTTTGCTGGGTTTTATTTTTTAATTGTATCATGAAGTTTTCCAACATACAAATGCAAATAGTAGAAGCAGTCCCCTGTAAACCATACCATCAGCTTCAACAGTTATCAGGACATGGTCCATCTTGTTATACCTATACTCCCCCTAATCCCCTTAACCTCCCCTCCTCCACTGGATAGTTTGAAAATAAATCCCAGAGTATCATTTCACTAGTATCTATCAAAGGCTTTTAAGATCTGACATGATCAGATCTATGTTTTAGAAGGATTACCAGTTCAGGGCAAGAGGTGACAAGACCAGTTACATGATTCAGATAAAGAAGGAAGTCCGAAGAACTTACACCAAGTAATGGTTTAGACATACAGTCTGCAGAAATAATGAGGGATGCCGGGGAACCTTTTCCAAAGTAGATCTTCCTACCCAGAAGATGGCGAGTGATGGGGGGCTGCGGGAGTGCTGGGGAGGAAATGAGTTTGGATGAAGACAATGGAGACAGTGAAGAATTAGAAAAAAGGAGGAAATGCAGAGTTGGGAAATGTGTGGAGTGTTCAGTTCAACGGGCCAACTGAACATGAAGGCAGAATAAATGTTAGAGATGAAAAAGGATGAGCTGTTCCAGAGAAGAATATGAGGAGAAAATCCAATTTACTTCAATATTCGAAAACAGATTTGTGCCTGGGATGGATAGACAGAGAAGTGGCCCGTAACCTCAGGGAACTTTCATTCTAGTTGAAGAAATAAGCAGATTTCCTACACAAGCAAAGATAACTGCAAAATTGGGATTACTGTTTTAAAAGAATATTTATGAACTTTATATCAAAAACTAACGATGTACTATACGTTGGCTAATTGAATTTAAATAAAAAACTAAAAATGAAAAATAAAAGTTGAACTACCCTATGGTCCAGCAAAATAAATAAATAAATAAATAAATAAATAAATAAATAAAAGAATATTCATCAAAAGAAGGGTATGACTTAAAGCCAGTGAGGACTGAGCTAGGATCTGAAGGAGGATTAAATTTAAACTGGGTTCAGAAATCAGAGAAAGGTAGAAAGCAAAACAGGCAAAGGTAAAGAACTAAGTAATAGGGATGCAGATAGAAAGGAGAGGAGAAAGGGGGAGAGAAAGCTGAGGAGCAGGCAGGGGCAGAACTCTCAGGTTTCTGACTTCCAGAAACCTGAAATAGAGAACAATGTTAAAAGATTTCGGTTAAAAAGACGACACCAAAGAAAGCAGGGGGTTTCTTTGAGAATCACCAACAGGAACCTGGAAAAGTCTAACACCTGTACGGACCATGGCTTAAACTTGAAGCCAGTTCATCATCTATGTATGGTTTAGACATGCAACGCACAACTAAGAAATTTTGTAAATTTTTGTTTCAGTGTCCACAGGTCTGCAAGCTTTACAAGGGCTTGCAGAGACTATGCCTGTCCATGTCACTAGAAGTTCTAGCACAGTGCCTGGCGTAAAGAAGATGACCAATAAACAACATGTGTTTTCAGAGACATTACTTCATTATTTATTTACAACACCAGGTTAAATAAGAGGGACCATTCCCCCTTGTTTTACTGATAGGGAAAGTGCAGCTCAGTTGGGAAAGGACTAACAGTCACCTGGCTAGTAGGAGACTGGCCCCAAAGTACCACGAAGAAGTCACTCCATGGGCATGAGAGCCAAGGGAAGGGAGAGCAGAGCTCAAGGAGACCACACAGCGTAGGATGTGATGTCAGTAACAATAAGGGGCACGGACTTGGGAATAAGAGCAGGCCTGGGTCTGAAAATCCCAGTCCTGCCTCTTACCAGTGACACAGTTTCCTCACCTGCCAAAGGGAGAAAAGTAGGCTCCGTTTTACCCGCTTAATGTGAAGACAAAACAATGATGCACGCAAAGCATCAAGCAGAATGCCTGGCACACACAAAAGATCTGCCACCTCTTAGTACATTAATGTGGATGTAGCTTCGTTGCCATTGAAGCTTGTCTGTGACCCTGAGAAAGCCCTAGTGGATGTGAAGTGCACACCACCCTACAGGGTATCTCCAAGGCCCCAGGAAGTGCTCTAGGATAAATACCTGTTCTGATACTCCATGAGAATGCAGAGAAATGGGACCTTGCAAAGGAGTAGGTTGGAAAGAGGGACCCCAGGTATCGCACACATGAAGACCAACGGTTTGCTTAATGAATTACTGGCCTCAGATAAACGTCAGACCCAAGAGTCATGGCGAAAAACAGAAAGCTCATTCCTTCCTGAAGCACTTCAATAGCAGGGCACCTGACACAGTATTGTGGCTCAATGCTAATTTAGAAGGTGAGGTCCTGATCTCAGAATGGGAGAGACTGGTCATCCAGAGATATGGGAGAGCTGCCAGGAGATGCCCACCCACTGTCACTTAAAGATCGGGGCCAACCTTCAATATCCACAGAGATGGACTGGTTGTGCTCTTCCATTTAAGTAAAACAGAGATGGTGGTAATAAGAAACCTCTCCCCAGAGCTCATCCACCCTTGAAAAATAGACACTTTCTTCACGATCCGCAGTCAGAAAGTATTTCCAAATCCTAAGTACTAAATGACATCAACATCTCTAAATTAATCGTCTATGGCTTAAGAAACTCAACTGACAAGCACTTGGAGGAAAGGAACCGAAATTGAAATGATCCACCTGAACACTGGAACAACTGCCTCCAAATTAGGAGCTTACCCACAGTAATTGTGATAACCAATCTCCCAAAGGGAAAAGCTCTGCATCCCTCACCCAATTCATACAGTAATTTTTTTTCTTAGCAGGATGACCTAATCTGGAATGGAATGTGCTGTATCTGTCCTGAGGCTAAGAGGTGGCACTGAGTCTAACAGGTGTGAAAAAAGTTATCAGTCTGGTGAGACTGATAGGCTTATAACCCTCTCCACTTAAAATATGATTTTCAACACAAGCTACTTCAGGTATAATAAATCTTTCAAGAGACTGTGTAGAACAATGTGCTCCCAAGTATCTGAGATCAAAACCAAATTCTTAATATCTGCTATTCTGGAAGTTCGTTAAATACTGTGATATGGCACCCAAGGTTTTAGGTTTAAGATGTGTGTTCATTTTCGTCCAAGAGACAGCTACGAGTATAAGCAGAATATGTGTCACAGTTGGCTTGCCTAGCATATCCTGCATGAATAGTCAGCAAAAAAGATAAGACGTTTACAGATTTCAAAGGCCCACCAACAGCAATACATGAACTATAATGACAAGACAAAGGCTTACTCCAAAGGACATTCAACTTGATAAAGGTGTCACTATTCATAGTTACACCCCTAGCGTGTATATTTTTCTCATGGAAGAATGTATTTACCACTTTCTCCAATTTTCCCTAGAAATGCATCTTTTGCTAAATGACAGATAAACTCCACCAAGAATTTTAAGACTCATTTTATTACCCTCAACACCCCAATCCTCTATAAAGAAGCAACATTGCCAACATGAAAATATTTTATCCAGCATAGTTTTAAGTTAAAGTAGTATCTTTGCCATTGTTTGGGGGGAGGGTGGCAGACAGGAAGGCGGGAACTAGAAATGGAAAAAGAATTTTTAAATCCCTGTTGCATTATCTACCAGATGTAAGTGAATAATAACTAATAATATGTCTGCAGCCTCTGCCTTAATCTTAAAACAAATGATAGTATTCAAATATAATATTTCACACATGCAGACTGATAACAGGTTTTTCCTTTCTTTATTTCTTGAAGATTCTGTGAACGACACAGTACAAAGTACAATGTATTTAATGAAAGGTTTCCAGGCTGATTTCCCCTACGGATTATTTTCTTTCTTTTCTCTGGAACCCACACACTGGGTATACTGCAGGGACCAGGGGTGTATATAAAAATAAACTATGAGCCAGTATCAGAGCTGATACCCTTCTCCTACAGGGGCAAGTGAATTATTAGATCTGTGTCATGAGTGTTTTTTTTTAATATGCCATTGTTCCCACTTGAGCACATTAAATTTTCCATATCCACTTTTAAACCAATATAACCTTTTTTTCCATGTTCATAATGTTCATGCTGTACATTAACAGGCAGAAAATCCAATAGCTTAAGTCTTCATATAGTAGTTATATGTAAAGCTTGGTGGATGAAAACCTTTTGCATTTCCCCCCTCTTTGAACAGATACTATACTGGAGTTGGCTAAAACCCTGGGAAAAAAATTACACCTCGTGGGAAACTGTACTAATATTTTGTTTCTTTTATGATTGATCACAAATCCATTTTGAACATTACACATTTTTTTTAAGTTTATTATAACTCTGGCTCAACATCTTCTAGCCCAACAAATTGAAGGTGCTGGAATCTTTTGGTCTGGAAGATGTGTTTGCCAATTATTTTTGCACTAGTGCACATAAACAGGGAGGACTGGATCTTAGGTATGAGTTATACATTCCTGTACAAAATAATTGTATATTCTATGAAGACTGATTCTTTTTCTGGAGAAATATACAACAACACAAGGGAAATCTTGTACTAGCAGCATAACTGAAGTGGCAAGATACAATATTAGAAAAACAGAGCTACTTTCATTACTGTGATGCTGTGTGTCAGAATGTCTCTCCTTAATGAACCTGTTTGCAATAAGACTCCGGCTGCAAAGAGGCTATTTAGAGAGACTATTGTGTCTATAGCGAGTCCTTCAAATATCTTCCCACCATTAGACATGCCGCATTGACCAATTCTGTCCTGATTGCTGTTCTTTTTACTATCAAGGGACATTCTTGCCCAGACAGACGGATGCATCAGACATTGCAGTTCATAAAAGGTTTACACTGCGCGCGCACACACACACACACACACACACACACACACTATGGTACAAGCTACAGAGCTCCAGATCACACAGTGAGATGAATGTGGCAGTGTCATATGAAGGCTTATGACTTTCCAATATCAATGAGAGGATTTAAGTTAAACTTTGCTCGTCCTGTCTGCCTGTCACTCTCAACAAAAAGCCTTTTTTCCCCTCTCTCTTAGTATATGCCCATGCCCATTGCTCACATGGGAACACTTCAGGCAAATGTTTTCTGGGTCATAAGGTTTCCTACTCTGCTGAAATTTTCTCCTAATTTCTGACAAGATAAGAAGACTATACATGTCACGTCATCAAAAGGGGTGGGGGGAGTTGTAAGGGAGAGCATGACAACAACCATAAAAGAATAGTCAAAAGGACTTTCTAAAAAGATCTAAAATTCCAACTCACAGTGACAGCAAATGAGACTTGTCTCTACGGTATAACTGAAGCACCTGGCTAACGCAGTGGCCCTCTAACCAAGTACTGAATAGGAGAGGCTGAGGTGCTTTGCAGAAACTTCCTGTTCATCTTACTTGGCTGCGTTCTCATCAGCTGCCAGGCATTGTCTAGCTTCACCTCTCACACACCTACATGCTAAGTGATCCTCTACAAAAGCCCTTTCCTCTTGCGCTTTTTCCAATAGAGCATCCTTTCCATTGTAATACAAGTAACATGCCTGCCAGCCACCTGCAAAAGGTTTTACACATCTCCCCCATGTCAGCTGTCAAGCAGAAAGAACTTCAAACCCAAAGGTCCAAATTGCCAGTACACTAATAAATGTAACAACTACTAGTTACATCTGATAAGGAACTAGAGAATTGCACACTGAACTGAACCTGGATCCAATGAATCAAATGTATCCAAGGACAGTTTCAATTCCCATTATTTTAAAATTTCTCTCTCACCTCCTCCTTTCTTCCAGGCTCAACCTGATATTTTAGCAGACCTGACAAATGAACCATCAGTTCTCCTGCAGCTCTGATGTCCAAAGCCATTTGGAGTATCTAGGATTTCAAAATATTTCCATATCCAAATTCTAAATCCTCATCATGATAAAGCCTTAAAATACTGCCTCTATTAGAACTACTTTGCACATTTATTGAAAACACATAAGCATTTCTTAATTGAGATATTTGATATCGTGAGCCTGTGTAAACACACTGAGGATCTGCCTGCAGATTTAGGAAGTGCAGGGACAGGAGAGACCTAGTAGCAATTATTTTTTTTCTCCAAGGAAACGAAGACTGCAAGAGATTTAAGAAAACCTATCCTGGACCAAACCCAAGACCCTGAACTAGGACTCCAGGCGTCTTGACTACTGGTCTGGCTCACACCAGGCTATAGCTCTATATCCAATAACCTTTCTGTATTTTACTAATAAGGGTTTTTGTTTGTTTTTTAAATAGCAACAGCTCGGGGCGCCTGGGTGGCTCAGATGGTTAAGCGTCTGCCTTCAGCTCAGGTCATGATCTCCAGATCCTGGGATGGAGCCCCGCGTCGGGCTCCCTGTTCAGTGGCGAGTCTGCTTCTCCCTCTCTCACTGCCTCTACCCCTGCTTGTGCTCTGTCTCTTTCTCTCTCTCTCTCAAATGAACAAATAAAAATCTTAAAAAATATATAAAAATAAGCAGCAACAGCTCTACTAAAATATGTTCAGTTATATCTGTCATGTACACTAGTGTAAAGAGAAAAAGAATATGAATAATTACAAAGAGTACAGACAATCCAAAAATGATTTCTACGTTCCTTAAGAACAGTTATTCTCATAGAATGGCTGCAGGACCAACAGCTTCAGCATCACCTGCGGACTTATTAAAAATGCAAATTCTCAGGCCCTCTCCAAAACTGCCAGAATCAAAAAATCTGGGTGTAGGGCACAGCAGTTTGTGAGTACACAAGACCTCCAAGTTATTCAGATGCATGCTCAAGTTTAATAGCCATAGCTCTAGAATATACTATATGATTTACTTAGCTTCATATTAAAGTTATTTAAAATGGCTAATGCTCCTTAAGGACATAATCAACTGACCAGGAGCCAAAACTAGACCCAGAAAGAGGAAAAGCAGTCCTGAATTAAAAACACTTTTAGGAATATCCCAATTTTGGGCAACAGACAATTATTTGTAAAGATAGTATCTTTTGACTGTACTACACAATACAAACCACTCCACTGATTCTTTTATTTGGAAGAAAGCAAGCATTCTCTTTTAGAATAATTAATAAAATTAAATATTTAAATAATCCCAAATTTAGGATGAGGTGATGAAAAATAAACTGGTAACAAATTAATGAACTTAACCATAAGAATCAATAGTGAAATGCAAAGACATGTTAAACAATATGAAGGTATAATAATTTGAAAATTAAAGATCAGACAGGACACCACCATGGGGCAAAGAGAAAACGAAGAGTTCTGTGAAGGTAAATGGAGGCGTGGGTATGAAGGAGTTACGAAACTAGCACCAGATAAAGAGCAAAATAAGTGAAGAGAGAGAAAGTACTGTCATGTTAGTGGTAACATCACACAAGACCTGTGGCAAGGCAGGAGGGGCGATTTTGAACTGGATCTGGCATTAAATCTCAGGGAAATTACTTCATGAGTACTGTTCACTCAGAAGATGAAAAGCATATCAGAATCACTCATGACTTCAAAATCAAAGCCACCACTGTTTATAATGAGGAAAAGTTAGATACGACCTAAACACCCATGCAGAGAGGACGAGTGACAGTAATCACAGTACTCCCATACCCTGGAATTCCATGAGGCCATAAAGAATTATATACCTCCATGATACTACATGGAAAAACACTTACATGGGCAAGTGGAAGAAGCAATTAAACAAAACATACAGTATCATCCAACTTCTATTTCACAAAACATGGACACATATGTGTATACACGCATAGAACAGATTGGAAAATGATAAACCACAATGGACACCAGAGCAGGTGATCGGTTTGCAACTAAATTTTATCTCTTCTCTATTTTCTGAATTTTCTTATTTTTTTAAATGAATAATTACTTTTATAATGTGGGAATATAAAAATACAGACACACAAATGTTTTAGAGAAAAAAGATAATAAATAACTGCCTTCTTACAGGCAGGGGTGCATGTAAGTACTGCCGTTAGGCAGAGGTATTAGAGCAGTAATAAAATTCCTGAGACTCACAAAACAGAATTCTGAGACAAAGATACAAACTTCAGAAGGAAAAAAAAACCCTCTAAATTATAGGCAACTTCATATCAGTCTCTATATTCAGCAAAAAAAAAAGGGGGTATCAAAACTACTACATTCTAAAGATAATCTAAATGAAAAGTAGAAAGGACATAGTTTATTAAGCACATTCTATGTGCCAGATACTTTCACATAATATCTCCCTTAATCTTCATAATAACTTGCAAAGTATTACCTCTATTTTGCAGGTAAAGGCTTAAAGGAAACAAGTATGTTTCTGATGCTCAGTGGACCCCAGAGCTCCTGAGCTCTTTCCACTACACCAGGCTCCAAAAGGGATTCTTAACACACAGTTCTTGAAGTGGTACAAGCTGAAATTTAGGGTGCTCAAACAACTTCGGAAAGGACTCCATTATCCCTCTTAAATACAAAATAAATATACAATAGAAAGGGGGGGAGGGGCGCCTGGGTGGCTCAGATGGTTAAGCGTCTGCCTTTGGCTCAGGTCATGATCCCAGGGTTCTGGGTTTGAGTCCCGCGTTGGGCTCCCTGCTCAGCGGGAAGCCTGCTTCTCCCTCTGCCTCTGCCTCTCTCTCTCTCTCTCTCTCTCTCTCTCAGACTCTCATGAATAAATAAAACATTAAAAAAAAAAAGAAAGGGGGGAGGGGGAAAGGCAGTAAGGGCTGTGTGAAGCAGCCCTGCAGGCTCTGGTAAGTATTTCTGACTCCTGAGGGAAAATGACTTTAGAAATGTTCCTTTCGCCTGGTGTAGGGCAGGACAGTGGTAATGCAATGACCAAACAAAGCTGTGGCTTAAATAAGTTACCAGAGAGAAGGAGAAGAGAGCAAATTTAAGAAGTATTCAAGAGATAGAACTGACAAGATGTCCTGATTGATGTGATGATATTCTTCCTTTTGACCCAACAACCATACGAACTTAAATCTAAACTTATATATAACTTCACCACTAACAAACTTTGAAGGCATCTCCAATTTGAATCTTACAACTTCACTTCTTTCTTACTTTTTGCCTTTGTAGTACAAACCTACCCACATGCATCTAAATATTAAAAAGTGTTTCTTCCATCAATTGGTAAATGGATAAACAAAAATGTGATTTATACACACGAGAGTATTATTTGGCACAAAAAAAGATGAAATACTGACACATGATACAACATGGGTAAATTTTGAAAATATTATATAAGTGAAAGAAGACAGTCACAGAATACCAAATACAGTATGATTCCATTTGTATGAAATATCCAGAATAGGCAAATCCAGAGACATAACGTAGATCAGTCGTTGCCTACAGCTGCAGGGGGATGGCAGTGTTGGGGATGATAGCTGAAGGTTATAAATTTCTTTTTGAGGTGATAAAAATGTTCTAAAATTGACTGTGGTAGTGGTTACACAATTCTGAATACATGAAAAATACCAGTGAAACCAATAAACACTCCATAAATAGGTAAATTGATAGTATGTGACTTGTAGCTAAATAAAGCTGTTATTTTTTAAGTGTTTTTTTGGGCAATATTTATTGAGTATGATGTGCTTGGCGCTAAGGTGGACACAGGATTTCAACCCTGAGACAGCACAAAATCTACAAAAAATAAAATCCCTGTAAAGCCAAGTGGTTCCTATGGTTAGCATTTTCTATATGGTTCTATGCAAAACAATCCTCTCGACATCTTTAAGAAAAAATGCTTACCCAAGAAACATTCATTTTTCTCTTTTTAATGCCACAGAAGTATTTGTATACTAAGATAATATTCCAAGTCACTGACAAAAAGGTTATTTAATCATACAGTTAAAGAACATTCCCTAGGGGCGCCTGGGTGGCTCAGTTGGTTAAGCAACTGCCTTCAGCTCAGGTCATGATTCTGGAGTCCCGGGATCGAGTCCCACATCGGGCTCCCTGCTCAGTGGGGGGTCTGCTTCTCCCTCTGACCCTTCCCCTCTCATGCTCTCTGTCTCCCATTCTCTCTCTCAGATAAATAAATAAAATCTTTAAAAAAAAAAAAAAGAACATTCCCTATAAAAGATTTAATTCCGCTATTTAAAAAAAAAATTCCCTGGATAAGTCATTTCTAGAGACATGTAGGCACGCTAAAAAAAAAACTGGATGTAACAACACCAGCCTTACATTTCATGTCCAGCCATATAACATCGAGTTCAACTTATGCTTTTATTTATATAGATGTAATGGGATTCATTTCCAAATTTGTTCTTCAAGCAGGTATCTTGGAAAGTACTGGTCTAAATGCCAAAGATCTGAAGATCTAGATTCAAGATCTCATATCATCAGGGCTGGACTGATCTTCAGGGGTGCTGATGGTAAACAAGCAGTTTATATCTACAAAAATAAAAAAAAAAGCAGGGGCACAGTAGAAAGGACATACTTTTTTATTACCCTAGAGAAACAGAGAAGAGTTTAAAATTTAAATACAAATACATTAATTGGAACAATATTTAAAATAGCAAAAAGTTGAAAACAACCTATCTTTCCAATAATGCGGGGTCTATAAATAAATAATGGCTCATGACAGAATACTATGTGGCCATTAAAATTCATATTTAACAAGCTCCCCCAAGGTTATGAAAACAATTATAACTTTTATATTAAGTTCAAAATGTCAGTTACAAAACAGCATTTTCAGTATCATCTCAATTTTATAAAATTAAAGATGCACTGGAAAAAATCAGGAAGGCTAGTTACAAAATCATAAGTAAGGTTATCTCTGGGTGTTAAAATTATGAATGATTTTAAATATTTGTTAGTTACATACAATTCAAATTTTCTTAAATGAGTATTTCTATTATTTTGGGGGGGAATCAAACAACAAATTTGTAGTTACTTCTCATCTTCTCATCAAAATAAACTGAGGAAGAAAATGTTCTGATCCAAAATGAGAGTTCTGATTATCTGAGCTTTACCTGCCTAAAGCTTTAGTATACTAGTCCTCCAACGTGCTGAGTTTTCTCTTTACTCTGGGCTTTTATGAGTGTCATTCCTGGTGCCAGGAACATTTTTAGCCACACTTCCTAGAACCCTTCATTTCACCGGGCTAACTCTGAGGAATAAAGAGGCAGAGGTGTCACTTACTCTAGAAGTCTCCGGCACTGTGTATGCTGATGGAACCCTGGGCTTAGCATTCCACAGCATTTATCACAAGGTACTACGGTTGCCTGGTTTCACATTTTCTTCCCCTACCAGACTCTAAGATACTATGAGGGCACGAAAGAAATGTTTCTGTTTTGTTCACCACTACGTCAACTATACTTGGTAGCATATCATATGAGCTTGATAAATAATTCTGAAAAAAATAACGGATGAATTAAGAAGTAAACATTCTGTCACAGAAGCTAAGTATACCTAATTGTTACAAGTATTTACTCTAAGTAAACTAGGGCTGTGTGTTTCATGTCATGAAAACACAGTATACTTGTACAGTAATATAAGCAAAAGACAGATCTTACGTGCTCCTGTTCGCAGAGTCTGGAAATGTGAAAGCAGGAGTCTAGTAGAAAGTTAAATATATCCAATCACAGGGTATTAAATATGTTAATGTCTTAAATACACCATTTGTAAATAAACAGAAATAAGGTGCAATTAAGGGAAACAATTAAAATAGAATTATACCGTGTTTCCTGAACTTGCTTCTCAAAGATCAGATGCAGATGTTGCTTTTTTATTCATAAGCTTTGAAAAAGTAAATAAAACATTTTGTATACTGCTCACCATAAATCTTAACTTACCATTCAAATTAAGTCTAAACATAAACATGACCCTAAAACCTTCTCCAGTCCTACAAACACTCAGACAATCAAAATCTGACTTCTAGGACAGCAATTTTACTATAGGAGTACAATATTTATGTTGAAGAGATAAATTATGCAAATCATGACGACTTATGCTTATGTTATATTTAAGCTTACTCTTCTGCATATTATAGGGTTCAAGAGTCTGCAAATTTACCCAAAGTTCAGGTTGCTTATGAAATAATTATACCATTTAGGACACTTTTTTTTTTAAAGTAAGCTCTATGCCCAACATTGGGCTTGAACTCAACCTTGAGATAAAGAGTAGCATGCTCTACTGATTGAGCCAGCCAGGCACCACTAAGACACGTTTAATACCAATTTAGGTTTAAGATTTGGGAAGAGCCGATAAAAGTTTCAAACAATATGCACTACTTTGTATTATTTACTTAACATTTGATCATAATAGCTGTACAACAAATGTGAATTAAGAATTTACAAATTAAACCTCTACTTTATTCTAGACCTCCCAAAGGGGAGGTCTAGAAATGTTAAAGAAAGTAGTTCAAATAAAAAATCAAGGCCATGTTAAAACTAGATATTCCCTAACCTTGGTTATGCAACCACCCAATTAGCTAAACATACACTGGTAATTTTCCAAATATAAATTTTAATATTCATTTAAATTTTTAAGTGTTTGATACATAAAAAATATTGGGAGTTTTTTTTAATTTAAAATTTCAAACACAAAGTGATGAGTGACACCTCAACTAGTAGTAGAATAGCAGTCAATTTTCTTTTTCCAGTAAGTCTGACCCAAATTCAAAATTCTTGGTTAAAACAAGAAAAAAAAATCCTATTGAAAGAATGGAGGAAAGCATCACAGGAAGAAGAAACAAATGTGACTATCTTTTCAGTCCAAGAAACTTTGCAGCTGACTCTTCCAGCACTGGAGATTCAAAGAGCACAGCCCCCATTCTAGAGATGCTCACAGTGTGGTGGGGAACACAGATAATGAGGGTTCAGTGTGCTGAGTGGGTTGTTCCCAAAGGTCTTTGTAGTAATCTGGGGCTACTTTTTCATTGAGTACTTGGGACACCTACCACCACTGAAAATAAATAAGACAAAGCACCCTCCAAGAATTTTTTTTTAAAAATCTAGTCCGGAGGGACAACTGGGTGGCTCAGGCGTTAAGCGTCTGCCTCCGGCTCATGTCATGATCCCAGAGTCCCGGGATCAAGCCGCGCATCAGTTTCCTTGCTCAGTGGGGAGTCTGCTTCTCCCTCTCCCTCTGCCTGCCACTACCCCTGCTTGTGCTCTGACAAATAAAATCTTTTTTTAAAAAAAATCTAGTCTGGAGCATTATACAAACATACAAGTAATTGTCCCACAAGGTACAAAGCAGGTAGTAGGTGCCTTAAGGAAAAGACTGCAAAATAGGAGGCATACCTGGGAAACAACATGGCTAGGATACAATATAAAAAAGATGGTCAGGGAGAGCTAGAGACGGAAAGATAAGCTCACCTATTCTTACAGAGAACCCTGAACACAGAAGGAAGGACTTATTCTGACCAGAGAGGGTCGGTAATGGATGAAGTTTGAGAGCTGAGCTGTGAGAAGGTCAAGTATTTTTTTTTTAAATTTATTTATTAGAGAGAGAGAGAGTGAGAGAGAGAGCGCAAGAGGGGGTAGGGTTAGAGGGAGAAGCAGACTCCCTGCCGAGCAGGGAGCC